CCTGATCTCCTGCACTAATGGGATTAGTTTTCCTGCAGGCCAAGTTCATCACAAGCGTCTGGGGTTTAATTCAACTATAGACCTTTCCATAAGGCAGTCATGGAAAATAAAGAAGGAGTGACAAATAGATCTGAAGTGGTCCCTGGGGATCTGTTTAAATGTAAACAGAGATTATTGAGGTCAAGTCTGCAATTTGTTCCTTCATGTAATCATGTTTCTAAAGTAGGTTTTGAGGTGCTAATGATTATAATATAATAATTAATAGAGTAAAACTATACAAAACTTTTCTAAATTTAACAGCCAGAAGATTCATAAGCCACTCCTACTACTTCTTGACCTAGAGTTTAAATTCTCAATATTCATGTCAAGAAGTCAACTTTATCAGACTCAACAGAACTATGTTAGGAGTAAAATACATTCAGTGCTTCACTGGAAATAAAACTATATCTAATCTGATATAAATCAAATCTGATTAGAATAGAAAATAGAGAATCCCTATTTTTCCTTCAGTTCAAGGCAACTATTTATTCTGCTTCATGCAGTAAAGGTAGAGATTGTGAAAGTTGAATTCTGCTGCTAGCTTCTTAGGATCTTAGGTTGGAATTAATATTTAATTACTGGTTTATTACATTTACTGTATATTCCACCACAATAACTCTTGGTGGTTTGTATCTAAAATGGCAATACTTTAAAAAGAATAGAAACACTGATAATACCTTTATATTTACCATATAAATATATGCATCAAAGGTCTGAAATTTGTTTTAGGTCTGTTTCATGTTTGCACATGGCAACTTTTTTCTTATTGTGTATGAACAGTAATAGAATTTATTTTTTGGTGCTTTTGTTCTGCATAACAATGACTCATATTTGCATCTCATGAAACCATGCAATAGAACTGAGTAATAGTGAACCAACCTATGTGTCTTCATCAGATGGCAGTTGTGGGAGGATCTAAAGTCAAGCAGGGTCATTCCTGGTTAGTATTGGCATAGGATACCCCCAGAGAACCCAGGGTTGAAGGCTGGACCTGGAAGTTAAACAAACATTTAGAAAGACAGCAGGGGTGGGTTGCTGCTGACATTATTGCCGGTTCTGCACGCTCACTAAACGGTTATGCAAAATGTTAAAAAAGGGGGGGGGAAATCATTTCTGCAATGAAAATTGTTCTGCACATGCACCGAACCGAAAATCAAGATGGCAGCACCGTAGGTGAACCGATTCATGGGTGAGGCAGGCCTGGGTCACTGCTGGTTCCAGCGACCCAGGCTGCCAAATTACTACCGATTCGGCCAAACCGGTCCAAACCGGTAGGAACCCACTTCTGGAAGACGGTAACAGCCAGATACTTTTGTACAACAGTCCAGAAAACTATGCAGATGTCTCTGTGGTGTCCGTAAGACCTGAGCTTAACTCATGTCTTCCAGACTATATTAGATACTAGTATCAGTACTAGAATAATATAAACAAGTAGCTCTGTGGATTGTCCTTCCCATGGCTCAAGTCCAATTATATGGGCTTTGTGTAGCCATTTATGGCTGTTTGGGTCCACTGCACTCCATTTGAAGGTCATTGGAAATGGTGACTCGTGTTACTGAATTTGAAAATCAAAGGATCCTAGCATCATAATAGTTTGCCCTTCCATTACTCAGGCAGATAGGAGTAGTATCTTTGGTTATAGCCAGTATGCTTATGAGCTTGCATGTGTGTTTATAATCCTAGCCCAATGTTTTTATTCCTTGCTTCCAGGGTTTTCTGGATGCTGCTATACTGAGGTGCTAATAATAGCGGAGTGACAGCTGCTATGTGAGGATAAAAACAATCCTAGACACAGTTCTGCCACCCCCCTTTTCTTTTTGTAGCTTCCTTGCAGACCAAGCAAGAGGTGTACTGAAGCAAAATATAATCTGACCTGCAAAGATATGTTCTATAACCAAGTATATTTGGAAATGTTTTGATCCGAGTGCCTTACTGACTCAACCATGTGCAAATAATACCCGACAAAGTTTGCTATCCCCTGGGATGCCCAGAGATCTCTTGGTCGGCTGCTTTATTCTGCAGTGATTTTTTCTTTCAGGGTTGCTTGCCTCTGTCATACTTCTGCTTTTGCAAGCCTTTGCTTTGTCTAAGCTATTCTCCTTCTGGCTAAATTTGTTTTATTGATCTAAGATGAGATACATGATTGGAGTGGGAGAAGAAGAAGCAGAACATGGAGCAATAAAGGTTTCCAAAAATAATATTGAGTCAGTTGTGGAAAGTCTCTTCCAGATAAACATTAGATAAATGAACATCTTCTTACTATTTGGTTACTGGACACCTGATTCTTTTATTGATTCTTTTTCTGATTCCACGCTGACTACATATACAGCTAAATCTAATCCAGAGATTGCTCTGGTTACCAATACCCCTGCTGGTTTAATTTTTTTAAAGGAGAATTTATTCAGCAAAACAAAATATAGGCGTTTAAGATATTGGATAACAATGCTGTGTCTAATGAGTCAGGCTGTAATTCCTAGTGTTGCATAGTATACACCATCCATTATCTATCTGACTCAGCCAGCGAAGGGAGTTATGTGCATTCTTTATCTATGGAAACTTGGCCTTTCAAGTCAAGGAAAATGCTTTCAAGGGTGGCTCTTTTACAGTGAATTACAGTCCTAAATTAATGAAAGGTCTGTCTGTAGAATATTTGGAAATAGTAATGAATGGGGGACTGTTAACTGACAGTATAATAATTGAGGATGATCTTGGAAAGAAAAGCTGGGTTTTAGAAGTTGCACTGATATAGTGACTAAACATACTGACTTTCCCACCAACATAAGAAAACTTTTGTCTCAGAAAAAAGTATAGACTTACAAGAGACAATCTTTGACATTAAGTCAATAGTAATATGGTCCTTTTAAGGAACAATGGGACTATGACTTTGATACAGTTTAATTTTCCATGTTCGATGGGAATTAGAAAGATACAAATATTGTCATAAATACTTCTGAATATATGTGGTTACATCCATGCATATAGCCAGAATCTGGTTCACTGACAAATGCGCGCTCGACAAAAGTGCGCTGACGAAACCGCGCTGAGAAAACCGTGAGGTCAAAATCGCACCGACAAATGCGCGCAGAAGCGCGCCCGCAACAGCGCGCCGACAAAAGCGTGCCTTCAACAAACAACTAATAACAACCTAATAATCCTAACCCTAATCTTAACCCTAACCCTAAACCTAACCCTAACCCTAAACCTAACCCTAAACCTAACCCTGAACCTAACCCTAACCCTAACCCTAACCCTAACCCTAAACCTAACCCTAAACCTAACCCTGAACCTAACCCTAACCCTAACCCTAACCCTAACCCTAACCCTAACTCTAACCCTTACCTTAACTTAAATCGCGCTTTTGTGGGCGCGGTTTTATCAGCGCGTTGTTGTGGGCACGTTTATGACATTACGGTTTTCTCGCCGCGCTTTTGTCGGCGCGCTTTTGACATCGCGGTTTTAGTGATACGGTTTTGTCGGCGCGTTGTTGTTCAAATCTGAGCTTTGGTTCAAAAGTTGTTGTTAGAATCTGAGCTTTGGTTCAAAAGT